ATATATAACTATATAGGACACAAAATATATTGATCCCTTTTATGTATTACTAAAATAATCAGTTTTATCAGCTTTATTTTTTTAACCTAAACTCATTTTCTGCTTCTGAATGACACAGATTTCAGCAGCTCTTATACCACCCACAGTGAAATGAGGTTACTCACAGTGTGAAAACACTCTGACAGCGAACCATCGCACATTGAGTCATCTGAATAACTAAATATGACACAAAAAAAGAGTAAAATTCCACATCGGCATCAGTCGGCTGATCCGATTTTGCATTTTAAAGAGAATAAAGCATCTTAGCTGCTACTTACGTAGACTTCCTTTAAAAGAAATATGACTAATTAGGATTATATCGCTTGATAAAAAAGTATCTCCTTTTTTATTTCAAGTGATTATTTCTCTCTGAATGAACTCTTACCGGTCAGGCTGTTAGACAAGATGTCGTTAAAATAGCTTCTTCTCCGAGCTCAACAAGCTGCAGGGGAAAGAAAAAAAATGAAACACTTTGCTCTAATTAACAACATTTTTCTCCTCTCTCTGCCCAGAATCGCTCCACTTCCCTACATTTACAGGTTTTTAGTCGGCTCTTAAAATAACATGCAGGGATAATTACTGAGCAACAGTAACGAGGAGTCTGGAGCTCAGATCGCGGCGACGGGTTGATCCTGGAAGAAAAAAGGCATGGAAAATGAGTTTACTGTGAAAACTAAACGAGACGAGACACGGCGGGAAGGGCGGCAAGGTTTCAGGTTTTAACATCAGCTTCGCTTTTACGTTCGCCACAAAAAAGCCAAAAAAGCCACATCACTGAGGAAGAGCTTAAAACCGAGGCAGCCTCCAGAAAAAAAATGAAGTTTGTTGTCCAAATGTTTCGTGGATGAACTCCCATTCTGACATAAACAAGCTCTTTTAATCAGTTATTTTATTTTAAAGAAATAACTAAATCCAGTTTTTTGAGCCTCATTGGTACTCATTTCTGTGGCTCATGTTGTGCAGTTGGTATTCATGCACTTTAAGTCATGGAACAAAATCTGTCTGTTAGTAAAATATCTCATAAACCCCTGGATGGACATTCAGTTCAATTCAAGATGGCTGCCACAGCCACCTGACTTTTATAAACACAAAATGACAGAAAATAGAGCCATTTTTAGATAATGACTTGCAGTTTGGATGTTAGTAGCTAAGACAGTGGTGGGCACACTTCCGTTAACCAGCCAACACCTAGTAGCAGAACTATTTTTTAATTTGGCAGATTAGCGTTTTCATTAACTTTGAAAACTTTTAGCCAATTAGCTTCTGCTAATTTCGATTTTGCCAACTTTCATTTTGCTAGCTAACTAAACTTACAGGTTTGTGTCTGTCCCATCAGTCTTCAGCTTGAAGGAGACAAAGACGTGTGACGTAGACTGAGGGACAGTCGTCTAAGCCACTGATTCCCAACCAGGGGTACGTGTACCCCTAGTGGTACTTGAGCATATTACAGGGGGTACGTGGAAAAAACTTCCCAGGTGTGTAAAAAAAAAATAGATTTTCGCAATGCGTGAAAATTCAAACTGAATCGTGGAATTGACAGAACAAAATGGAATCCAGGGTAAAATGCAGAGTCTCACAGAATTTGCTTTATTTGGTTTAGTTTCTGAGGTATTTTGGACGCTGCTGTTTTCTGCACCTGCCATTACCTGGTTTATTTATTACTTATTCACTTTCAAGGCAACGTTTTTATCTTTATGTTCAATTTGAGTTGAGAAGATTAAAACTGGGTTCCCACGGGTCATTGAAATCCTTGAAAGTTTGTGAATTTGAAAAAAAAAAGTTTCAAGGCCCTGGAAAGAGTGTGAAAACAGCCAAAAGTTACACTTGTCCTTGAAAGTCCTTGAATGTTTTTTTGGGGATTGAAATTCTGTATTCACGTGACTTATTTTCATCATCTTTTACGGATTTTAGGATTAGGACATCTTTTAGGATTACGGTAAACTGACGTCGTTGTTTCTGACTCAACAACTTGTTCAGTTTTTCATTGAATTTACATGATATTAAACCTGTTTATTGGTAACGTTCTGCAGTAGCAGTAGGTAATTGCCGTTGTGCGTGGTTCTTTAATTTGAGGAAATTGGTACTGGAAAGTCCTTGAAAGGTTAACCTTTTACCTGCTTAACATTTTAGCGTTAGTGAAGCTATATTGTTAGTTTGCGGGTTATGTTTTAGCAAAGCTAACTTTTTGGTTCACTATGCAGAGAATGAATTGCAACATGGATTTTAATGACTACCAAATTTAACAATAATCTTTGTTTAAATTTTGCCCTTACCTCTTTAGATTCAACTCTGTTTTCTGCCACAGTTAATCAACAAAAACCAACACAAACATGGCTTTAACTCAATTTGTTTCACAGATAATGAATCGGTGCAGGAGTAGCAGAGAGTCAATAGTAACATCTTGGGAAGTTGCATGAGATTGCGTATGAAGTTATTAGAAGGTTACAACTACAAGTCACATGATGATCTTGGTGTAAAACTCTGGTTTTAAAGGCAGAGGGTGAAATGCATTCCTTTAAGAAATGGCTTTATTTTTATCTGGTGATCAGGATTCTCCCCGAGCTCAGAATGAATATTTCCTCTGAGCAGTCGGTGCCGTCTGTTTGTCAAAGGAGTCAGATTCTGAAGACGCTGATGGACTCTGCCATGGCAATGCTCTTGTTTTGTTGTCTGCCGAGCACAGACGTGGCTTTGTGTACTGTATGTCTGCTGTCTGTGTGTGTGTGTGTGGGTGTGTGTGTGTGTTCCAGGGAATGTGTGTGGTCATTTTCCTGTTTTTATACAAGGATATAGCAAACCTGAGTCTCTTCACTCACTGCCACTTTCTCATAACTGTGACCTCATTTCCTTCCTGGTTTTATTTTTATTTCTGGTCTTTTTTTTTTTTCAAACCTCTCCCCTCGCTCTGTCGCTGGGGGGCTCCTGATGATCTATCCCCCCTGTCTTTCATCCTCCTCCTCACACCTTCCTGTTTCTCTTCCTCAATCTGTTTCAATCTTCCCCCTTTTTTTCCCTCCATCTCTCGTTCCTGTGCTGCTTCAATTTTACTCAGCGTGAATAGATGGGATGCTTTAGTAGACAGTTTCCATAGCGACATGCCGTTTGAACTAGTCGTTCAAGTTTGTTTGCTGTAATCTGAAGAGAAGCCATGTTACCCCCATTT